TTTCTACCAAACATACCCTTAGTGTGTTTATGCATCTTTCTTAGATATGCTTGTTGGGAAACTTTGTTAGTTTGATTAGCTCTTGTTGGGCAATAAATTAAAATTTAGATGTTTGATTTAAGAACTTGTAAATATCCTAAAAAATGCACTGGCTCTTCCTGTGATGACTAGAGAATTTGGTAACACTGTTAAATGAGTTGAGCCCTCTGAGGTGTTTGGGCTCTCTTTGGCTCCCTTGACTTCAGTAATGGCTCCTAGTTAGCATCTTCCTCTTTCAGAAATGTCATGATAGATCATTGTATAAATTGCTCTGCGTATGGTTTTCCGAGTTAATGCACAATGGCATGGCATGTAACTTCAATTTCTTTACGTCTTTAAGCAGAAAAAGGTGTTTATGAGGGACAAGTCATGTAGCAAATTCATTAGATAATGAAGTGTTTGTATATGATAATCTTATCTCAAACTTATATTGTATCTAATTTAAGTGAATTACATTGCTTTTGTCTGCCGTTTTGCCTCTCAAATTCCCTTTCTTTGTCTTAGAACTACGTGCATTAGATGTAAGAAAAATCAATTCCGCCACGGGTAACTTCGACCCTGCAAATAAGATAGGGGAGGGAGGCTTTGGGCCGGTTTACAAGGTAAATACCGTAGTTTTTGCCAACCAATCAAACTAGTTAGAAACTTGATTCTGAACTGAGTTGCTTGATGATCTTAAGTAGGGCGTACTTTCGGATGGTGGCGTAATTGCAGTTAAGCAGCTCTCATCAAAATCAAAGCAAGGGACCCGTGAATTTGTTAATGAGATAGGCATGATATCTGCTCTGCAGCATCCAAATCTTGTTAGGCTTTTCGGCTGCTGCACTGAAGGAAACCAGTTGCTGCTTATATACGAATACATGGAAAACAACAGCCTTGCCCGCGCACTTTTCGGTAACTGCTTGACCATAATTGGTGAGAATTAACCGTCATAAATGGCAGAATGAGACTTGCATCACTTTTCTATTTTCGCAATTAATAGGTCGGGATGACAACCGGATGCATCTAGATTGGCCAACAAGGAAGAAGATATTGTTGGGGATAGCAAGGGGGTTAGCTTACCTTCATGAGGAGTCAAGGTTGAAAATTGTGCACAGAGATATAAAGGCAACAAATGTGCTACTTGATAGGGATCTAAATGCCAAGATATCCGACTTCGGTTTAGCTAAACTCGATGAAGAAGAGCACACACATATCAGCACATGAATAGCGGGAACGATGTATAGATCTCTAATTCTTTGTCATTTATCTTTCTGAATCATTATAAGCCTCTTAACAAGGAAACACTGTTCTTGAATGAATGATGAAATATTGAAGGTCGTAAATAACATTATGTTAGTATATTAGTTGTATTCTACGAGTAAATATTTGATAATAGATAGGGGTAAGAATTATTATTGCATTTACTAATGACTGGCTGAGGATATATGGCTCCTGAATATGCAACAAGAGGTTACTTGACTGAAAAGGCAGACGTTTACAGCTTTGGAGTTGTGGCTTTAGAGATCGTAAGTGGGAAGAGCAACACGAATTACATGCCAAAAGAGGAGTTCCTTTTTCTTCTTGATTGGGTAACTCAATTATATAAAATTTTTTTCATTCAAGTTTACATTTATCTTTAAGATATTTCAAGGGGGTTCTTTTAGAAAACTTTCATTGAATATACATGTTACTCTATTTTTGTAAAATTCCAAACAAATACTATAATATATCTATAGAGTGGACATTGTTTGATTAAAGACTATTAAGACCATCATTTATGTTTTCCTGGATTCACTTATTTTTAATGTTGACAGAATGCATAAAAAGTTTGACATATTGAATGTAAGGAAATTTCTTCTTGTTTGATATTCTTTCACTCTTTTATTTGAATAAATTCATTGAGACTAAAAGTTTGTCTTTGTCTCCCTACATGAAATTTAGGCCTATGTTCTGCAAGAACAAGGAACTCTTTTAGAGGTTGTGGATCCTAATCTTGGTTCCGACTTCAACGAGGCGGAGGCAATGACAATGCTTAACTTGGCACTCTTATGCACCACCACATCTCCTACTCTCCGGCCACCAATGTCTTCTGTCATCATGATGCTCGAAGGCAAAATCCCGGTCGAAGCACCCGTTGCCAGTCGTCGTGGCCCGAATCACGAGTTCAAGGCCTTTGAGAAGGTAACAGAAAATAGCCAAAGAGACAACTCTGT